GAGTTGCATGTGACGTCTGTAGACAGTCCACTCTCACAGGCATATAGCAGGGTTGGGAGGACAATAGCTTTATAGACAAGCACCTTGGTATCGCTACGGATGTCCCGGTCCTCAAACACTCTCTGATTCATTCGGAAAAATGCTGCACTTGCAGAGCTCAGGCGGTGTTGTATTTCAGTGTCAATGTTGACTTTTGTGGAGAGGTGGCTATCATTGATAGTGAGATCAGGACCATGGATGGCGGAATCCCAAAGCATGGATACTAAGGCCCATTAAGAGGAGAACCAGTATTGGCAGCAGGCCGCTGGTGAGACCTAGAAGCTATTTCCCAAATTTCCTCACCAGTTGAGGAAGAAAGCCATCAAGGTGTTTTATTCAATCCAGCTGGTAAGAATGACAGCTCATGTAAGCCGCATAAGGAAGCTGAGATGCTTGACACAGGCCAAAACATACATTTGATACAGTGAAATCCTTTGTATTTCCTGCTCACTCCATAACTGGAGCTGGCTTTGCTGTGATTGGTGGAACCAGGTTGACATAATGGCCAGCTGGGAGGATTCCCTTTGAGAAGCGGGACTGCTGTGCCTGCCAGCCAAACAGAAAGCATTCCATGCTTCTAATGCAGATTCATGCTCTCTAATGGCTGACAGGGGGCAGGATGACCACAATTCAGACAAAGAAATCCAAAGTGTCCTGAGAAGATTACTGTGTCCCAACTCTAGGATGAACAAAGAGGGACTCTGAAACTTGTCTACATTGGGAGAGGGCCTGAAATGTCCTTCCTGGCTTTTGAAGGATTGATGGGCCCTTTCCAGTGGCCCCAGGATACGCGTTCAAGTGATCAGCTCCTCCATGATGAAAGGGAACAGTTTGGCACAACGTGCTCCAGTTGTGGCCAGAAGCGTCTCTGGGGTCTCGCTCTTTGACAAGCAGCTTTTTTTAACCTCCTTTTCTAAACTTACTTTTCAAGACATTGCAACTGGCAGCAGATGAATCTCAGATGGGCCTCAGAGACCCTATCCATCATCCCCTCTCCTTTGGGATCTGCCTAATTTGCCATACTGAGAACAAAGAAATACTATGCAGCTCCCATGGAGAAGGTCAAAATTGTCAATGAATGGGGTACTATTGGACGTGCATCATGTGAAATTGCAATACGCAGTGCGATATCTGTATGCACAACTCTTCCAGCAAAATATGAATGTTGTGCCATGCCGAATCATTCACCCCTCATGTGCAGCCTGCCTTATGAATACATATATCATGAACCGGATGCCAGCCTGGGTTTTACAGTGTCTTTTTTGGTCTTCACACAAGAAGGAGATTTCAGAGCCTCATGATTGTCAGATTCCAAAAAGGAACTCTTTCCCAGCAAATGCATCCCCATATGTTCCTTACAAAGTGGCTATTTTTACTCCTTTGCCTCTTAAAATTAGAAACATTGATATGCCCTCTATAGCTTTGGCCATAATGTCATTGACATGTTAGATCTTAATGTATGGAGGTTTAAAAATTGTGTATCATCATAACCTATAATTGATTTTGTATGACTTCCTAATGTTTTATGTTATGACTTATATTGTTTATTTTGTTTACTTTGCTGTTTTAGCCTTGTATGCCACTTGGAATCTCACCCATGAGAGAAAAGAAGGATATAAATAAATAAATAAATAAATAAATAAATAAATAAATAAATAAATAAAAATAGGGGGGGCATCAGGTTCCATGAATTCTATTGTTGAGAAACTGGGTTCATGAGTCCTCAGCTAATGAGTGTAATGTCTCTGGTGCTAGTGTCCATTGAGTTGCAAATCAGAAATATTGTTCCCTATGAGTGGATCATAAGTCGCTTGCTGGAAAAAGGGAAATGTCATTGTGACCAGAACAGGACCTCCTGGCATATTGTAGGAGTGCTGGGTGCTTAGTGGTTTCTTTGTGTCCAGATGACTGCAGAAAAGGACAGGTGGTCCAGCATATGGATTCTATCATCCTTTGCACAGTCTGGGTTATGGGAATCCAGAGATTCCATTGATGAAGGGTGATTGAGTTCAATTAGAGTGGTGGTGACCAGGAAGCACTGGAGGGGACTCCCAGGTCACGATGAGCAAAGAGAATGAGTAATAAACAATAACCAACAACAAATGAGTGACAGACCTCCAAACTTCTGGCCATCATAGCCTTGCTCTCTTCACACAAACTGAATGAATCAATAACTTGCTTGATTGAATCCATATCTAATGTGGTCTTCTTTTCCAACTGCCATCAGCAGTGGCTTAATTCTCCAAAAAGGATTGTATATAAAACACAAAATAAAATATATGAAACTTACACAGAGATAGGATTTTGTGGATACTGTGGTAGGGGTTATTGTGGGAGTTGGGGTACCCATGGAAGGTGAGAGTGACTGGAGGTTCATTGGTGTGGAGGTTAGGTAAGTCTAAAGAGAAGAGGAAGAAGAGCCCCGCTCCAGGGGCAAAGGGGGACAGGCAGATACCGGGGGCCAGAGGCAGGAAGGAGAGTGAGAGAAAGTGGAGTATCATGCATTTGTCCCTGTTGAACTTCATTTTGTTTGTTTTGGTCCAACATCCCTCTAATACAGTTTTTCTCAACCTGGGGGTTGGGACCCCTGTGGGGGTCACAAGGGGAGTGTCAAAGGGATCACCAAAGACCATCAGGGAACACAGTATTTTCTGTTCATCATGCGGGTTCAGTGTGGGAAGTTTGGTGGGGATCATCATTGGTGGGGTTCAGAATGCTCTTTGATTGTAGGTGAACTATAAATCCCAGCAACTACAACTCCCAAATGTCAAGGTCTATTTCCCCCAAACTCCACCAGTGTTCACATGTGGGCATATTGAGTATGTGTGCCAAGTTTGGTCCAGATCCATCATTGTTTGAGTCCACAGTGCTCTCTGGATGTAGGTGAACTACAACTCCAAACTCAAGTTCAATGCCCACCAAACTCTTCCAGTATTTTCTGTTAGTCATGGGAGTTCTGTGTGCCAAGTTTGGTTCAATTCCATTGTTAACTATAAATCCCAACAACTACAACTCCCAAATGACAAAATCAATTTCCCCCCAATCCCACCCGTATTCAAATTTGGGCGTATCTTGTATTCGTGCTCAATTTGGTTCAGTGAATGAAAATACATCCTGCATATCAGATATTTACATTACAATTCATAACAGTAGCAAAATTACAGCTATGAAGTAGCAACAAAAATCATTGTATGGTTGGGAGTCACCACAACATGAGGAACTGTATTAAAGGGTCACGGCATCAGGAAGGTTGAGAAACACTGCTCTAATCTGTTAAGATCATTTTGAATTCTGCTCCTGTCCTCTGGAGTGTTAGCTATCCCTCCCAATTTGGTGTCATCTGCAAACTTGATGATCATGCCTTCTAGCCCTTCATCTAAGTCATTAATAAAAATGTTGAACAGGACCAGGCCCAGGACAGGACCTTGCTTATGGCATTCCACTTGTCACTTCTTTCCAGGATGAAGAGAAAGCATTGGTGAGCACCCTTTGGGTTCATTTGCTTAACCAATTACAGATCCAGGTAACTGTAGTTTTGCATAGCCCACATTTGACTAGTTTCCTTGCCAGGAGGTCATTGGGGACCTTTTTGACGGAAGGCCTTCCTGAAATCCAGATACGCTCCATCCAGGGCTTTCCCCACTCTATCCAAAAAAGAAATCAAATAAGTCTCCCCAGATGATCTTAAGCTCCTAGCTGGTTTATAGGGAGAGATACGTTTGGACAGGTAAGCTGGGCCGGAACCATTTAGGGCTTTATAGGATAAAACTAGCACTTTGAATTGTGCTGGGGAGCAAATTGGCAGCCAGTGGAGTTGGCACAACAGAGGAGTTGTATGCTCCCTGAGCGCTGCTCCTGTTAGTAACCTGCCTGCCGCCCATTGGACCATTTGAAGCTTCTGAACAGTCTTCAAAGGCAGCCCCACATAGAGCGCATTGCAGTAGTCTATACGGGATGTAACCAGAGCATGGACTACCGTGGCCAAGTCAGACTTCCCAAGGTATACCTATCCAAGCAGTTCTTCATCCTGTCATGACATTTCCTTCCTTTTAACCCCTTCCTCTCCTTCTTGGCTGGCTGCCTTTCCCTCCATCAGCCTTTCTCTGCTCACCCCCCTCTGGGCTTCTGATGCTCAAAGGTGTGCGGGAGCGAGCGCTCAGGCGCGCCTTGCCTCCCATTGGCTGAGACGAGATAAGGCCTTACTGGTACATTATTTAAACTGTTATGTTTATTCATATCATGATCTGATCACCATGCTCAATATATCCCATATGCATGGGGGTATTGAGGGTAACGATACAAAAGGTTTGCTAGGGTAGACCCTCTTTCACTCAGACTCACCCCCCCCCCAAAACAAACTCAGCTAAGGGCCTGTCCCCAGATGATCTTAAGCTCCTAGCTGGTTCATAGGGAGAGATACATTCAGACAGGTAAACTGGGCCAGAACCGTTTAGGGCTTTAAAGGCTAAAGCCAGCACTTTGAATTGTGCCCGGTTGCAAACTGGAAGCTAGTGGAGTTGGTGCAGCAGAGGAGTTGTATGCTCCCCTGAGCGCCACTCCTGTTAGTAACCTGGCTGCCGCCCATTGGACCATTTGAAACTTCTGAACAGTCTTCAAAGGCAGCCCCATGTAGAGCGTGTTGCAGTAGTCTATACGGGATGTAACCAGAGCGTGGACTACCGTGGCCAAGTCAGACTTCCCAAGGTATACCTATCCAAGCAGTTCTTCATCCTGTCATGACATTTCCTTCCTTTTAACCCCTTCCTCTCCTTCTTGGCTGGCTGCCTTTCCCTCCAGCAGCCTTTCCCTGCTCACCCCCCTCCGGGCTTCTGATGCTCAAAGGTGTGCGGGAGCGAGCGCTCAGGCGCGCCTTGCCTCCCATTGGCTGAGACGAGATAAGGCCACCGGTGCTCAGGAGCGCCCGGATTCGCTCTCTCAGCCATCACTCAAGGAGGGTGGGCGGGACCACCGAGGGATTGAATGGAAGGGAGGGGAGAAAGCAGCTGGAGAGGCGAAAAAACTGATGCAAGGAGCGGACGGGGACCGGCGATCCTTCCCAGAGGCTTGACAGGCAGGTACCTTTGGAATACTATGGGTGGGGAAATGTTTAGGGGGGAATCAATGAAGGGGAGGCATGGCAAGGCTGCTGATGTTGCAAAGAGGAGCATAGGATGCCCCAGCTGACTAATTATGATTATTTTCGGCGTTTGGGTGCCGATGCGTGTTTGCACACGCGTGGGAACCAATCGACCTGCTTTTTTCTTTCTGGGTTGTATTCGAAAGGCATGATGCTTGCTAACGCCCACAGCTTGGGGTCCATCAATTTGTGAATCAATTCGGTTTGATCCCTGGCACAATGCTATGGGCTCCTGGGGGCTGTGCACTTGCCACTCGAGATCATATACAACTACAACGCCCCTCATTCAATCGCGTTGAGTGGTGTCCAAATGCATTGATTCTATAATAGGACGTTGCGTGGGGTTGATCATTTGCAAGCAAGCAGCTCAGGAAGGAGGCGAGTTAGATGTTTGGGTTGATTGGATGGATCAGGAGGAAACGGACACGAGAGGAAGAAACACGGAGGGTGGCCAGGCCTCTCAACCTGGGAAGAGAGAAGGACAGGGTGGGTGGGGTGGCCTTTCCCTTTGTCATGCGAGGAAAAGGCGCGGCGGGGAGTCAGTCTCGGAGCCCACGCGCGACCGTGGAACTGGTCTCCATTGGGGTGGAGCTGGCGGAGGAGCCATGCACATCTGGGCAAAGAAAGCCCGAGATGATTCAGCACTCAGCAAGGAGGAGGAGGAGAGGGAGAAGAAGGTCAACAGTGTGATGAGGCAGCTAAAAAGGCCAAGGCGATTCTAGGTTGCCTTAGAAGGACTATAGTAGCCACATTGGACAAGCTGGAATGTGTCCAGAGGAGGGTGACTAAAATGATCAAGGGTCTGGAGAACAAGCCCTATGAGGGGCTTAAAGAGCTGGGCATGTTTAGCCTGAAGAAGAGAAGGCTGAGAGGAGACATGATAGCCATGTATAAATATGTGAGAGAAAGTCATAGGGCGGAAAAATGGCTTCAAACTACAAGAAAGGAGATTCCATCTGAACATTAGGAAGAACTTCTTGACTGTGAGAGCCGTTCAGCAGTGGAACTCTCTGCCCCGGAGTGTGGTGGAGGCTCCTTCTTTGGAAGCTTTTAAACAGAGGCTGGATGGCCATCTGTCAGGGGTGATTTGAATGCAATTTCTCTGCTTCTTAGCAGGGGGTTGGACTGGATGGCCCATGAGGTCTCTTCCAACTCTAGTGTCCAGATCAAGGGAAGCCATGGTCCCCACTTTCCTCTGCGTGGGTCAAACCTCACCTGGAATAACCCTGTCCACTTCTGGGCAAAACACTTTAGGAAGAAGAAGGTGTCAATGGAAGTTCAATCAAAATGATCAAAGATCAGGAAACCAAGCCCTATGAGGAAAAGCTTGGAGAGTTGAGTATGTATAGCATGGAGGCGAGAAGGTTGAGATGGAAAATGTGGGTGGGTTGGTCTCGAGAGGGTGCCTTCATGGAAAATTCATCCCTGGCACCCACAGAGTTGCCACATCTGCCGGACATCCATCCCTGGCAGTATGGAACATCTCTATCTTTTCACGCTTGAATTGAACCCCACAGAAAGATTTCATAAGTTATCATATCTTGGAGAGAAGAAGGCTGAGAGGGGACAAAATAGTCATGTTTATGTATCTGAAAGGATGTCATCTTGAGGATGATCACAATGGAGTAATGAAGGAAAAGAGATTAGGAAGAACTTCCATACAGTCAGAGCTGTTAGGTAGTGGATGGCCATCTGTTGGGAGTGCTTTGATTGTGTTTTTCTAGATGACAGGGGGTTGGACTAGTCAATAAGGAGTTGTTTAGCTTGGAGAAGAAAAGGTTGAGAAGGAACAAGAAGTGAGTCAATCTCCAAAGATTGCCTTCATGGAAAATTGGTCTCTGGTCCCCACACAGTTACCCACAGACACCCGTCCATGGCAGTATGAAGCCTCCCTATCTTCTCACACTTAAAGCCCACAGAAAGACATCAGAAGTTCTCTGATGGCATCAGAAGTTGTCATATCCAAGGTGTGTTTATCTTGGAGAAAAGAAGATTGAGGGGGGGCATGATAGCCATGTTGAAATATTTGAAAAGATGTCACATTCTCTGTTGCTCTGGAGACTATGATGGGATCTCCCAAGCAGCACAATATGATGGAATACTATGTCCAATTCTGGGCACCGCAATTGAAGGCAGATCTTGACTCTAAGCTGGAATGTGTCCAGAGGTGGGTCTAAAATGATCAAGGGTCTGGAGAACAAGCCCTATGAGGAGCAGCTTAAAGAGCTGGTCATGTTTAGCCTGAAGAAGAGAAGGCTGAGAGGAGACATGATAGCCATATAAATATCTGGGAGACTAGGATGTGGAACAACTGTTTCAAACTACGAGAAAGGAGATTCCATCTGAACATGAGGAAGAACTTCCTGACTGTGAGAGCCATTCAGCAGTGGAGCTCTCTGCCCCAGAGAGCTCCTTCTTTGGAAACTTTTAAACAGAGGCTGGATGGCCGTCTGTTGGGGGTGCTTAGAATGCAATTTTCCTGCTTCTTGGTAGGGGGTTGGACTGGATGGCCCATGAGGTCTCTTCCAACTGTATGATTCTATGAGCAATGGATTCAAGGGGCAGGAAATAAGATTCCACCTAAACCAGGCCCGTAGCCAGGATTTCGTTTTGGGGGGGGGGGGGGGCTAAAAAAAATTTCAGGGGGGGTTTTGGGGGGGCTGAGTTTGGGGGGGGGCTGAGTCTGAGTGAAAGAGGGTCTAGCCTAGCAAACCTTTTGTATCATTACCCAATACCCCCATGCATATGGGATATATTGAGTATGGTGATCAGATCATGATATGAATAAACATAACAGTTTAAATAATGCACCAGTAAGGCCTTTTCGCGAACCACCATGAGAATTTCGGGGGGGGGGCTGAAGCCCCCCGGGGCCCCCCCCCCCCCCCCACATGCCTGACTACCTTAGGAACAACTTCCTAACAGTAAGAGCTCTTGGGCAGTGAATGGCCATCTGTTGGGAGTGTTTTGATTGTGTTTTTCTGCATGGCAGGGAGTTGGACTAGATCAGGCATGGGCAACCTTTAGTCCTCAAAGTGTTCTGGTCTTCATCTCCCACATATCCTAACAGCTGATAGGCTGTTATGAATTGTGGGAGTTGAAGTCCAAAACACCTGGAGTGCCAAAGTTCGCACATGCCTGGATTAGATCCTCTTTGTATTCTCTGTCAACTCTTTTGGGTCTATGATTCTCAGGAAGAATTTACTTCCTTAGAATCATACCCTGTAGAATTATTGCTATTTGACACCACTTTAACTGCCATGGCTCAATGCTATGGAGCACTGGGTGTTGTAGTTTGGAGAGGCACCAGCACTCATTTGCAGGGAGGGCAAAATACCTTCTAAAACAGGCACGGGCAAACTTTGGCCTCCAGGTGTTTTGGACTTCAACTCCCACGATTCCGTAGGAATCGTGGGAGTTGAAGTCCAAAACACCTGGAGGGCCAAAGTTTGTCCGTGCTTGTTCTAAAACAACAACTCTTATAGTATTAAGTCATGAGAGGTAAATTGGGGACAAACTGCATTCATTCTATAGTGTAGATGAGCTCTAAAAATCACCCCCCCCCCATTCTGGGGGAAAGGGTGACTTTCTTTCACATCTTCCTCTGGGAATGAATAATATATCTGGGCTTTCTTTGAACGCTCTTGAGCGTAGTTTTGCCTGGACGGTAGTACACAGTAAGTCTCCCTTATACAGAATGCTTGGGACCCAGAAGTGTTTTGGATTTCAGATGTTTGCAGATTTTGGAATACTTGTATTTGTATATGCATACATGACGAGCTATCTTGGAGATGGGAGCCATGTCTAAACATGACAGTCATTTCTGTTTCGTATGCATCTTATACACAGAGTCTGGACAGAGTTACATGTTTCCATATGATATTTTTAATAATTTTTGTGCATGAGATAAATTTGTGTACGGTGAACTGTCCAAAAGCCAATGTATCACTATTGCAGCTTTTGATGTAGACAATGTTGAGTTTGGAGTATTTATTTATTTATTTACTATACTTGTATACTCAGCTTTCGATGTAGACATTGTTGAGATTTGGAGTATTTAGGGATTTATTCATTTATTTATTTACTTATTTACTATACTTGTATATGGCCTTTCTCAGCCTAACAGATTCTGGTTAAGTGACGTTCAGCTTGTAACTGCATTCTTGAAAAGACAACATTGGAGAGAAGCTTGTGTGTTCATACCATTTACTCCTTGTTTCTAATTTTGGAGAGAGACAAGCAGTCCTCATAGGGCTTGGAGAACAAGCCCTATGAGGAGCAGCTTAAAGAGCTGGGCATGTTTAGCCTGAAGAAGAGAAGGCTGAGAGGAGAATTTTTTTTTTGTCGTGTCAGGAGTGACTTGAGAAACTGCAAGTCGCTTCTGGTGTGAGAGAATTGGCCGTCTGCAAGGACGTTGCCCAGGGGACGCCTGGATGTTTTGATGTTTTATCATCCTTGTGGGAGGCTTCTCTCATGTCCCGCATGAGGAGCTGGAGCTGATAGAGGGAGCTCATCCGCCTCTCCCCAGATTCGAACCTGCAACCTGTCAGTCTTCAGTCCTGCTGGCACAAGGGTTTAACCCACTGCATCACCGGAGGCTCCAAGAGGAGAAATAATAGCCATGTTTAAATATGTGAGAGGAAGTCATAGGGAGGAGGGAGAGAACTTGTTTTCAGCTGCCCTGGAGACTAGGACGCAATGGATCAATGGCTTCAAACTACAAGAAAGGAGATTCCATCTGAACATTAGGAAGAACTTCCTGACTGTGAGAGCTGTTCAGCAGTGGAACTCTCTTTCCCAGAGTGTGGTGGAGGCTCCTTCTTTGGAAGCTTTTAAACAGAGGCTGGATGGCCATCTGTCAGGGGTGCTTTGAATGCAATTTTCCTGCTTCTTGGCAGGGGGTTGGACTGGATGGCCCATGAGGTCTCTTCCAACTCT